CCACTATCTGAAGGGTGTCATGCCCCTGCCATGCTCCTCTCCACCCTTTTATCCCACTTGATTTGCTTCTTAGCATCTTTGTGAACCAACATTTTGTTTTCTCCTGTGAGAGTTATTATCACCAATGAATGATTTGTGTTCAAGAGGCCTATTCATTGAAGCAGCATGCCCGTCTCCCTTGTTCACCCCTCACCCATGTCTGCTGAGGCACCAGCCCTTGGGAAGCAGTGGATGATTATCTCCGGAATGAGCCAATGATCAGAGCAGAGTTGAGATTTTAGACCAGAGCCATCTGACTCCAAAAATCCATGTTCTTTCCCTGATACCACATGGCTGCCTTGGACTGGTTCTGCTTATCAAAGTACACTGGTACATGCTAGTTACTAGCTAGGAAGGGTTTGGGGGCTCACCTAACAACTCTGGGTCTTATTTCCATTTTTAAAATAAGAAACCAAGCAGGGCTCTGTGGCGCATGCCTGTAATCCCAAAAGCTTTGGAGTCTGAAGCAGAAGGATAATGAGTTCAAAGCTAGCCTCAGCAACTTAATGAGATGCTAAGCAATTCAGTGAGACCCTGTCTGTAAATAAAATACAAAATAGGGCTGGGGATGTGGCTCAGTGGTTAAGTGCCCCTGAGTTCATCCCCAGTACCAAAAAAAAAGAAACAAACAAACAAACAAACAAAGCAACCAAGTCATCTTTGCCTAACTTCCAGATCTAGATATCCAGGGATAAATGACCTGTGGCTGTGTTTATAAATTGGTATATCATGTCAAGGTACGTTATCACCCTTACAACATGGGGAAGAAAGAAGAGGAAAAAGGAAGAAATTGAGTAAGAAAAGAAGGGAAAAAGAAAAGGATGGTGATGTTAAACTGAATGGTTTAGAAGAAACTAAGTCTAAATGTTGGGATTTAATAGGAGAAAAAAATACATCAAAAGTACTCATTTGTCCAGGAACAAGATTTAGATTCATTTGTGTCTGCTACAAAAAGGACACAACCTTGTTTTTTAAATTAATAATATGATTTGTTTGTTACACTGAAAACTCTTTCAAGTGCCTTTGTGTTTATTTCAGTCTTTTCCAAACACATCAGGGGAACGTGGTTACAGCCTCACTTAGACATGATCAGTTTTGGTTTTCTTCATCCTTGTTTCAAGACCTGTTATAAAGAGCTCCAAGGAGCTACTTGGCCTGTCTTGGGTTAGTCACCTCTGATGCTGAGTGCGGGAGGCCAAGCGAAAGGACAGCAATAGCCACCTTCCTGCCACACCGTGGCAAGCATGCTGAGCACAACCAGGTCTTGTTTCCATCAACTTTTCAACACTGTGACTAAAATAACCAACAAGAACAATTTAGAGGAGGAGAAGTTCATTAGGCTTATAGTCTCAGAGTCTCAGTACATGGTCAGCTGACTCCATAGCTCTGGGTCCAAGTGAGGCAGAACATCATGGCAGAGGGGTGTGACAGAGAAAAGTAGCTCAGCACACAGCAACTAGGAAGCAGAGACAAAGCTCAGCTTATACCAGAGACAAAATACAAGCCCCAAAGGCCCCCAGGGACCTACTTTCCTTCAGCTACACCCTACCTGACTACAGTTACCACCCAGTTAATCTACAGGAGTGGATTAATCCACCAATTGGGTTAAGTTCTCACAACTTGATCATTTTGCTTCTGAATATTCTCGCATTGTCTCATTTTGGGGGAACAACACATATCCAGCCGGTAACAGGTTCATAAAGATCCATTGGTGCAACCGATGCTTCTAACTTCCCCATAACTGAGACACTAGATTCTTCAGGGAAGCAACCTTATCTTAAATTCATAGTATTCCATTTAATCTACTGCAGTCCTGCCATAAAGACTGAATGAATTATGTAAACAAATGGTCATCAGACTCTCTTGAATGCCTCTAATAATGAGGAACCTACTTCTCCTAGCCCATTCCACACACTGGGGAAGCTTTTTATTGGGCAAAGAGTGTGTGTGGCATGGGGGCGGGGGTGGGGGTACAGTGGCTTCATGGGCAGAAGGACTTGATCTAAGTTCCTGGTCTACCACTTCTTGGACATGTCCCTGGATGTGCCACTGACCCTCCTTTAGCCTTAATTTCCTGGGTGTATAAACAGAGGTTAGTGCAAGTGCATGGAATGATATGGAGCTGGAAAGGTGAGTTGAGACAACACTAGTTTAGTATACATACCCCCAGGCATCTTTTGCCCTCTGTTCAGAGAAGCACAGTATTTAAGACACAAATCTAAAGTCAGAAGATTGATTCTGATCCCAGTTCAAATCTTGACTAATCAATGTGAGTCTTGACTAATCAATCCATGCCCTCATTTCCATATGGGTAAAGATGTGACAATCACTGAGCCTTATCATAGAGTTGATGTAAGGATGAACTAAGTCAGTACTTGCAAAGCATTTAGTGCTTGGATTGGCCATTATAATGGCAATGGTTAATATTGGAATCATTAGTGCCATTGAAGAGGTGGAGATAAGATCACAGCCTTTGGATCAGGTACTTGCTGTATAGGATCCAGGGGAGGAACTGTGTCATTGCAATTCTAGGTGACAGGTGCTAAGAACCCAGAGTGTCAAAGGTAAAGAGAAGAAAATGGGTCAGATGCCAGGTATGTCTGAAAGTTGAACGAAATTTGGCAAATGTCTTGATCTGGCTGGTAGGGGAAATGGAATCATCAGGAAGAAGCTAGAGGGATTTATTCTGAAAACATGTTCGTTTGCACACTGAGGTGTTTAAGTTTCATTAGAAAATAATTTTCCCTGCTCTAGACTGAAAACTTCTCATTCAAGCTGTTACAACCAATGGCCCTGGTCACAGTGGGCTTTCAGAATTTGTTGAATGAGTAGCTGCCATCCTCATGGAGACACAAATGCAGCACAGGGATAGGTCTTCCCCTGGAGGCCTTTCAGAACAGGTTGGGAAAATACAAAAGACCTGGTAGGAGTGCTTTATACCTACCAAAGTTTTAACTGAAAATATTGAAAGAGGGATCCACTTCATGCTTTTAACATAACACTTGCTGTTTATTTGTAAATAAACACTTTTTCCCCTTTATCTTCTCCTCTCTCCCTCCCTAAACATGGCAGAGCAAGATAAATCTTCTTCCCACCCCAGACTGAGTTATCTGTCCTTAAGCACACATACCACAGGAATGAATTCATTCAGACCTTGGGGATGGTGCAGAAGACCTAAGAAACTGCTATCTTTCAGGGTTACAAGTGAATTATGACCCCTGACAGAACACACCTAGAACATAGCCTTTGAATCACCTCTTTAATAACCCTCTATTCACCATGACAGTCAGAATCCCAGCCTCTAGGACAGGGGTCTCTTGTGTTTCTCCTTTGCTAGCAAAGCAATAAAACTTCTTTTATCTTCTTCTCAAAACCATGTCCTCACTATTGGGTTGACATAGGGCTGCAGGACTAAGCTTTTAGTAACAATATAAACAAAACCGCCACCAGGCTGGTAATGATCACCAGGAGATTAGTGTCCCTAAAATGTCAGGGACCTAGAGTAGAATTTCAGGTCAGTAATGCTCGCCAAAATATAATATATTGAAAAAATTATATGTGACAGCTCACCCACTTCCAGTATCTGCTTTGTTCAGGATGATGAAAGGTCTTTATCTATTAATTTGTAAGTGCCCTAGTTAGCATATTCTACTGTCCCGATAACTGGGGAGGGATGAACTATCTTCAAAGGAAATATGTATGTTTTAAGAGAGGGAATGTCTTCATAATACCAATATTCTCTGTTATTTTTATAATTTCTCAGACTTGGCAATATATTATAATTTGGGGCTGGTTAATCTTTCAGTTGGAGATTTGCCTCGTGCATTGTAGTGTTATATATAGCTCTCAAAGATTTTTACGCATCTGACAAATTTGAACCCCTTAATTCCTGTCCAACAGATGAGCAAATTCTAACTACTGCTAGTGTCTGCTTTCTGTTTCAAATGTGAAAATGTTAAATTTACCGTACACTAAAATATAAATATTTCATAAATATAATATTGCTTTAAAAGCTACCACAGGTTCAATAGTGCCAACATCAGGAACCCTCCAATCCCATTTCTGCCATGAACTTGGCTGGTCCCCTTGGGAAGCTGCCCCACTCACAACCCAGGTCTATTTCTTTTACCTGTGAGCCAAGGTTGATCCAGGGGAGAGTTAGAGATCCTCCCTGCTCAAGCCCTATAATATCCTGGATCTCTCCCAGGAATATTTCGTTTCTACTTAAGACACCTTGAGGTGACTTTTAACCTGCATGGCATACAGCTCCCATCACACAAAGCCTAAGAGGACATTCTTGGTTGCAATGCCTCCCACTCAGATGGCTACCTGGTTCCAAAGGCCTCCCGTAAAACCCAAGAATTTCTTAATAACCAACGGCATCCCTTCTATACTTTTGGTTCATCTTTCTGCCTCAATCAAGTTATTAGGTGCAATTTCACAATCAATTTATGAGGTACAACTTTAAGAAAGGCCAAAAGAAGCAGGTCACTAATATGACTGGAGATATATATAGTAGGTTCCTTCTCTGCACTCTGCACATGTGGTCCCTGAAAGTCCTGTCCCTTTTCCACCTTATCCAAGCTCTGGGATACTCCCCTGGCCGCCACCACCACACACACACCAGGGCACCCATTAAGCAGCGGGGATCCATGTCCTTTACAAGTATGTGCTTGGCGGGGGGACCAGCCCACCCACGTTTTAACTCTGTTGTTAAATTCTAACAAACTGCTTCCTGAGTGGGGCCTGACCTGAGGCTGAACTTGATGACCTCCCAGTTCCGGAACTGCTGTATAGATCAAAGTCACTCGCCGGCACTGCCCTGCGCTCGCCCCAGAGCTCCTCCCGGAGCTCCAGAGGACCTGCAGGGACCTGTCAGCGGTGGCAACGCCCAACTCCCGCGGGGTGCATGGCCCTGGCTCTCCGGGGTTCCTGTGATACCCCAGGGGGCTGGCCTTTACCTCTTCCAGCAGCCGGTAGACGCTGATCCCCGAGGTCTCCAGCAGCAGCTCCCATTTCCGAGCCACTGCTGGCTGCTGGAGCTCGGCGCAAGCCTTCCAGAACTCCTCATCGGAGAAGTTGCCCCCAGCAGCTGCCATCATTAGGCAGCCAGACCAGCTAGGCCTGCAGCTCAGGCAGGGGACAGGCTAGGTTTGTGCTGGGGGGGGGGGGGGGGGGGCGGGGTGACAAGGTGGCCACAGCGTGATTGGCAGGGAACAGAAAAGGCGGGACTTAGGTAGGAGGTGGGGTCGAAAGGGGCAGGACCCGAGAGGGTGGCCCTTAAAGTGGGCGGGACTGGGTAAGGTGTGGGAAGGTTGGAAAAAAGTAAAACTAGAGAAAAGTTGGAATTGATCTTGAGAAAGAGGGAGGAGCTAAAGAACTGGGGCGCGGGGGGGCGGGAGGCCGGCGGCGACTTTAGAGTTAAAGGACAAGTGAGAGAAAGGAAGACACTGATGTCAATGCGAAAACACTTCACCAGGAGCCCATCCCATACTCTTCTGCCATATCCTCCAAACCTGCGTGGGGGGGTCCCTAACCTCTTTGAAGAACACCGAAAAAGTCCCTCTGGTAGACTTGGGAAGCAAGAAAGGCAGACCTGAAATGCTTAAAAATCTTAGGGGTCAGATGCTAAACCGTATTACAATATTACTTCTCTTTTCTGTTTTGCATTTTAAAGCATTATTCCAAGAAGGGATCCATGGGATTCAACAAAAAGCCAAAAAAGAATTCGTGGCACAAAACAGTTAAGAATTCTAATCCACAGTGGATGTACAAGGTTACTTGCCAACCCAAAGGGTAAAACTTGATCTGAAAGGCTTCACGGCATTCACCCAAGATTTCTGCAGCTTGCATAATTTAGATCTTTGTGCATCTCAAAGATCTTTTGCTGCTTTGAAGTCCCTTGGGTATTACTATATTACCCATCAAAAGGTTCTACCTGGCTTGGAATACAGTAGGTAGCTTAAACATCAAAATGATGTAACAGCCACACGAGTGCCAACACATTCTCAAAAATGGGTTTCCCAGTCTCAAAAATGGGTCAAGAATTGTACTACCAGCTAGCATTGAGGTAACCGGACGCAGAATGTATTTGTACGGTGCCTGTCATAGCAAATGTTCAGTGAAATCTTCCACTTTTTTTACATTGCTATATTGAAATGTCATTCTTTCTGTACTTGAAAGAAAGTTAATGGGAAATTCGGTTTATAACAATTTACACGAAGGGAAACAAGATCACATTTGACAGGCTGCTTCGACACAGATAAGTAACTGCTCAATTGAGTGTCATTTATGTTTTCTTGTAGAGGAGTGGAAGAAAGGAAGTGGTATTTTCCTAGACTAAATACCCAAAAGATTAGAGACATACTTTCTTACTTTCATACTTTAAAAAGCAATTGCATCAAAAACCATTGGCTATAAAGCTTTCTTTTTGGTACCATGGATTGAACCCAGGGATGTTTAATCACTAAGCCACATCCCCAGCCCATTTTATTTTTTATTTTGAAACCAGGTTTCACTTAGGTTTTTCAGGCCTTCACTAATTTACTGAGAATGGCTTTGAATTTGCAATCCTCCTGCCTCAGGCTCCTGAGTTTCTGGGATTACAGGGGTGCACCACCATGTCCAGCTTATTATGAAGCATTTTGAATCCACTATAAAGGTGTCACTCTGATGAAGCTACAGTGTTATCATCCTACAGCAATTGATGGATGATAACAAGGCCAAGAGTATAAATGGCTTTATACAAGATATAAGAAATAAGGCATGGAATGCAAATTTCATTTACTACATATCTTTAAAAGTTTGTTATCATGAAACTCAGGATAAAAATGCATATACGTTTGGATATGTTGAGATTTGCACACATATTATTTTATTAAACACAGGACAGAAGAATGTTAGGATTGTATTTTATGCAGTCTGAAAGATTTAGAAAAGACTTAGGAAATTTAGCCTGTTGTCCTTGAACATTTGCCTTAATAGGCCAGCCAGTTTCCAGGAGCGGAGTGGTGGTGGGGCAGAAACTCTCTGGAGAAACTTCTGTCCACATGTACTAAAACCCTGGCATCAAACATAGAAATGCTGGCTGCGCATGGTGGCACACACCTCTAATCCCAGCAGCTGGGGAGGCTGAGGCAGGAGGATCACAACTTCAAAAGCAGCCTCATCGATGGCTGCTAAACAACTTAATGAGATCCTGTTTTTCAATAAAATACAAAAAAGGGCTGGGGATGTGGCTCAGTGGTTGAGTGCCCCTGAGTTCAATCCCTGGTACTCTCCACCAAAAAAAAAAAAAAAAAAAAAAAGACATAGAAATGCTGGATAAAATATATCCAGAATAGTTTTGAATACAGATCTTAGCTGAAGAAAAAGTTCCTTCCAGATTTCAGAAAAGGAAGAGGGAATGAAACCCAGTGACACACACACACTAGATATTCTTAGCATGGATGAGCCCTGCTCCCCCACCCCATGTCCTCCTATGGAGGAACTTCCAGCAGGGAAAGTAGTGCTTTTGGCCTCACTCATTCACTGAACTCCTCAGAACAGGGTGATTTAAATGGCTGATGGGTTTAGGAGAAGGGACGAGAGGCTAGGCTGAATCAATACTTTCTGGTTCCTTTCTGGCAGCTTTGTACTGACTTTTCATCTGTCTCTGTTGGGTCAAGGGGCGGGCTATCATCCTATTGTTGCCAAAGAGCCAAGGCCTGTTCTCTAAACAGGTTTATAGTAATCAAGGTGAAAATCGGCTCCGCTTCAGCATCACAGGTAGGGAAGACAGAACTGTTATTATAAATCCAAACAGACAGAAGCACTAGGGGTTGCAGGTTGAGGGTTCATGATTCACACATGAACAGAGGACAGGAAGCTGGGCACAATGGTGCACCCTTGAAATCCCAGCCTCTTGGGAGGCTGAGGCAGGAGAGCAGCAAGTTCAAGGGCAGCCTGGGCAATTTGCCAAGACTCTGTGTAAAACAAAAATTAAAAGCATCAGGGACATATATATACCTCAGTGGTAAAGCACCCCTGAATTCAATCTCTAACACTAAAAAAAAAAAAGAAAGAAAAAAATTTAAAAAATTAAGAAAAAAACAGAACACACGGATCTGGGTCACAGTGTTGGAGAGATGGACCAGGGGTCTCTCATAGATCCTGAATCCTCCAAGATCTATCCATGTCCTTCACATGAAATCACAACACTCCCATCTTCTAGGTCATGGAAACTTCAAGGAAGCTCATGTTCTTTCTACAGCCTTAGAAGAAAGAAATAAAAAAAGCACTGAGAAAAATTAGACTGTAAGTCTTTGTCAGAGGTGGGATTCAAATCTACATCACCTGCACTTTACCTGTTACTGTTCGGGAGCCACAGGTTGTCCCATTAACACAATATCTGGATCAGGACCATTGAACCCCTTGGATCCTGCTAGAATCAAAACCAGGACAGTTTCACAATCAGGACACATGGAGTTACTACAGAGAAAACAACACCCACAGAAGGCGAATGTGCAAGTCACCAAGACCTCAGGAAACCAGCTGGAGATGAAGCACTGGCAGGGGTGAGTCTCTGGGTTCTGCTCCAGCAACCCCCCCAAACAAATAAATAAGAGTCTGTTGATTAGAAACAAAGAACTACAGATAACAGACCAATATAAAAGTGATCATTTAATGTATTTTTAATGAACAAATAAAAGAAGATCCAGAAACTATAATAAAAGAAGAGAACCTGAAGAAAAAAGATAAATGACTTTGAAAAAGAACAAAATACACTTTCCACAACTGGAAAATAGAGTCATTAAAAATTGGAGAGAGAAAATAGTTAGCCTAAATTCAAGAGAGAGAAGGGAATAGAAGATGTCAATGAGAAAATTTCCCAGAAAGTGGCAGAGATAAAAAGAAACGGAAAATGTAAAAGAGTAATGCTGAGGGCACATTGAAGATGCCAAATATTTCTGACCAGAATTCTAAAATGAAAGAGTAGAGGGTTTATGAAATGGGATTGGTAAGTCAGTAAGCAAAAAGGAAAAAAAGGGTGGGGTGCATACAAAAACAAAGTGGAGCTAAAATTCCCAACAGCAATAATCCTTAAATAGGGGATGGTAAGGTCAGAGTTTTGTTTAAGAGATAAATAAGAGCTATTGATTGATTTTAGAGTAAACTGTGCATATAAAAACTTAAGGGTATGAACTCTCAAATTTCAATGATAACAAAACAAACTATGCAATAAAAGTGGGGAAACTATTTAAATAGACATTTCATTGAAGAACCAATGGCAAATAAAAACATGAAAAGATGCTCAACATTATTGGTCCTTAGGTCATTAAAACCAACTATATAGATATCCCTATTAGAATGATTAAAATAAAAAGATTGATCAAAGCAAGTGTTGGCAAGGATGTGGAGGAACTAGAACACTTATACATCTATGAGAGCAATGTAATGGTCGAGATACTTTGGAACTATTTAGCAATTTCTTAAAATGTCAAAATACACCTACCATATAATCCAGGCTTTCCATTCCTAGGTATCCACCCCCAAAAATATAAAGCATTGTTCATACCTACATTTGTGCACAAGTATTGATAAAAGTTTTATTTGTATCAATAAAACACTGGAAAAAATCCAAATGATCTACAGTGGGTGAACAGACAAAACAAGTTGCTATATATTTGTCAACGTAGACTAGTCATCAAAAAGATAGTAAGTGATGAGAGTATGTATATATAACTGTTCTGGGTGTGTAAAAAATGGTGTAGTAGCCAGATTTGGTGGCACACACCTGTGATCCCAGCTTCTCAGGAAGCTGAGGCAGGAGAATTGCATGTTTCAGGTCACCTTTAGCGAATTAGCAAGACCTTGTCTCAAAATAAAAAAATAAAATAAAAGGGGCTAGAGATATAGTTCACTGGGTTCAATCACCTATATCAAATAATAATAACAACAATAGTCATGTAAATAAATAAGGCATAGTAACCTAGAAGAATTGTCCCCCTCCATGATCTCTGTCATCAATGAACACACCCAGATCTTGATTTATAAATCTTGGCTTCTGCATATCATTCTCTAATAAAAGTTTCTCAGAAAAATAACCCATTCAAGGTCTGAGACAGGGAACTTGCAGGTAAGCCTTAGACATGTTGTGACTGAGAGTAAGAGATG